GTTGTTTGTTTGTAATTATATTGTCTCTTTATCTCTTTTCTGATGCAGCACACGAAAATAAGCTGTGACAAAGACAGAAAGATCAAATCAGAGATAAATAAAAGCTACTGGTGTTGTATCGAAACCTGCCTTCTCCCTTGCCTAATTCCATCACTCCACTCCTTGCCATTGACGTCTTCTGACTGAGACTCTGTTTGCTCACCGCACACTCACACTCCCCAAACCACATCACCCCTAAGGTTCCTTCAGCTCTTCTAGTTCTAGGCAAGTCTGTCATCGGACAGTGAGGATGGTGTGGATGTGTTTATAAAAATGCAGCATGATGACACAGATGTTTCATACATCAGATGTAAAGCGGATCTGCCGAAGCGCATTCAGCCCATGTTGGACCCATTCATATGAGTCAGCTGTCACTCTGTCACTGTTAATAGAGCCTTCAGTCTGCTGTGTAGTTTACACACTTGATAAACCAGAGAATTACACAGAAACAATGGGCTTCATCATCTCTTTCTGTCTGTCTCTGTCTCTCTCTTCCTCTCTCCACAAATAGCTGTGTAGGCTGCAATACATGAGGCCTAAACCTAGAAACAAAATGGAAAACTATAGCCTAGCTTTGACATTAAGTTTAAACTTTTTATAAACTTTTTTTGTTTATATTGTATGTTTTTTTTATTTTCATTTTACCGTTATATATGCGTTTAGGACAGATTAAAAGTCATTTCACTTTCACATTCTTGTATTGATTTTGTTCATCTGTAGTGTAATATGGGGGCAGGGGCATTGAGGGGAGGCCATTTGTCAGTAGCCCAGAAAATCTCACTCTTTTTCCCAGCCTAATGCTGGCAGGTATGGGAGAGTCAGAACTGTTCTATGTTGTGTTAACAATAGTGATGTTATTGAGATTTAGTTGTTCAGGGCTATGGAATATTAAATCATCCATATTTGCTCACTATATCTTAGCCTTTCTTACCCTCAGGTGTACATTAACTATAGGTTATACACTTCTGTTTAAAATACAAAAATGTGAAATTATTGGTTATCATGTTGGCCATGTCAAGCAGGTTATTATTGTTTATCGGTATCAGCTGAAAAATGTACATGTTGTACATCCCTATAAATTACACATTTAGAAGGATTCTACCAAGAATGAATCAAAGGGGGAGACAGATGTTCAAACAGCATCTGCATCTGTATTACAGCACACAGAGCCACTTATATAAATGTATACAGAGAGGCTGAGTGGACTGGTTATATTATGCTTTGAGATGAACAAGCAGAGAAGTTAAAACTTAGATGACTATGGAGGACTTATCAGTGCTCCAGAGTCACACAATGCCATTCACACAGGTGAGTAAAACAACCCACTTCAACGAATGTCAACAACCACTGCACTGCTTAACAATGTCATGCATTTATTCAGAATGATATATTAATTTCTAAATTACTCAGCACAACTAGAACACTTTGAAGTCACTCTAGATCATGCATACATTAAACAGACATACACTACATACCCAGTGCTACAGGAGTCTAAATACACAGATGGCACCATATTCACCAGAAGAAAAGCCTCTTTTGTGCTTTTGTCTCTCCTACGCATCCTTCTCACCCAAATTAATCTGCTTCTGTCCTCTCCTCCACTTTCTGCAATACTGAATAAAGTATCCTTTGTCTATTTATCTGGAGAGGGTGTTGAGAAGTTGAAAATACAGAGTAGTACGTTGAGCTACTATCCTCGCTAACAGGTTGTACGTTTTGGCAGTGCAGTTCTCCTGCCAGGGCGTACTTAGAAACTAAGTGTAATTTCACACATATGAGGAGCCAAGGTAAGGACATCTCAAAATAAAGTGTGTTCATTTGGAGCTGGACCTCCATAAAAGATAATGAAAATGTCACTGTGCCTTATGTAATTTATAAATTGAGACAGCTATCCCACTGTGGCGAGAGCTGTGGTGAGCTGGCGGCATCAACACTATAAGCAATAAGAGTGTTCCTCATAACAGTCAGGGTTATTTTGAAAGAACTGTTTGCTCAGATAGAATTCTAATTTGGCCACAGCTTACATAAGCAGTGTGAAATTATCTACTTTGACATATAAGTCACTGTAGAATCAAGACTGAGCTCTAACTTTTAAGGCAATAGATGAAAAGAAGAAACTGTGATCACACAGGATGTTGCATCCTGTGTGATCTTCTTCTTTTATTTCAAGTGTTTTTTCTTTCCCATGCAGCTTTTAACCTCCAGATGTTTTTTCTATTTTCCTAACACACCTTGCATTTTTTTGGAAAACTGCCCTGAATGTGCAAAGTTGAAAAATGTGAAACCCCAAGTGGATAATGGCTCTTTCTCAGAGGCAGGGCTTTCTTCAGATGTGCTATACTAGCAAAGTGAAAGTAAAGACAGTAGTGATTGTTGGTGCACAGCGTGCTTCATCTCCAGTGAATATCAATAAATATTATCAGGCTTTGAGTGTCACAACTAAAATAGATGGTGACCTTTTTTTGCTGTACTTAGCTAATGACCTGGCTTATTTCATGTGCTACACCAGCTGAGTGATTGACTACAGCTCGCTTTGCCATTGCCTAGCCACCAGTGCTTCTTCCTGTGCAGACATCTCAAATCAAAAGTCAGTGAAAGAGAAAGCTATCATGAACCTTCCAAGAGTTAGTGTTACATGAACATAAAAACTATGAGATGAACAGTTCAGTTTTGGCTACTTTGCTCCATGAAGTAAATTAATTGACTGACTCAAAATTGTCCATTTTCTGATTTAAAATCTTGAATCCAGCCACAATAATAATGTTTGTGTTAGCTCGGTTATCATCTTCAAGAACTCTGATATTTCAGTCATTCAGTGACTCACAAAATCTGTTACAGGTAGAATTTTCAATATACAAACATAAAAATAATTTAAAGGTATACTGTCCAGGATTCTTCTAAAAAAAACCCAACAACAACAGCTTTGACTGAGGCAAAAGCATTCCCTCTCACTCATCACTTATGGCCCACTAGACATGTACGGCAGTGCATTTATTTGCAGAGCCTGACCTCTTGCTGTATTTTCCTATTTTCTTCTTATTTTGCCATAATTGGGAATTTCCTGGGCACAGTACACAGGTGAGGTTGGGACTTTATAAAATGGTGGCAACAAGGTGCCGGATCGTAAGCAGCATGCTCTCAAGAAAAAGCTATGAAAATGATGGACAAAGAGTTGAGAAATGCAAATATAGTGACTGGAAAGGCCAAAGCTCGTTTGACCCTCTTGCTTTTATATCCGTTACCTTGGAGATAAAACAAACACCACTTAACAAGTTTGCCAGAGAAGGAGATCAACCAGGACAGCTCTGTTGTTGTTACTTTGCAAATGTGTGTAGTTTACATTTAAAGTTATAACTGCACAGATTGTAGATTCTAACATATTATATTTGCGACAGTGAAATTACGTCTGCAGTTCAATGTCACTGTTATTTTTTATAATTACATCGTATTGTTGTTTGTAACATTAATGATAATTTTGTTTACTTAAACAATCAATATTCCTATTATTACCATTCTACTGGTCTTCAGTTATTTTCATGCACTAATATCTGTCATTGAGACTTCTCAATCTTCTTCTTGTCTTCTTGTCAATCAGCTGTCAAACAGCCGTTAAGATGTCATCTGTTTGATGTGAGGAATCTTCCACTGTGCAGAGGACTGTGGGTCAGAATAGCCAGAAAAGCACGTTGGCTTACATACTGCAAAATCGGACCACATGTGGTAGAACATCCTGCTATTTTTGGCATACTGCATTTGACATACTATGTATTAGAACATACTTAATCTTTTTCTGTCATGCTATGTAGTACGGTAGTAAGGGTATCGGAACACACAGGATGTAAAATTAAAGACGGTGCAGGATTTCTTCTTTGCTCACCATGGCATGCAGCTCAGCAGCAGTGGGCTCAGCACTGCCACTAGTGGCCAGAGGCTACATTGCAGCAATGCAAAGCCTCAGACCCTTTTACATTTGTTTCAAGCTACCAGATGTTATGGTGGTTTTTAGGACCTTAAATGTAAGAGATATTTCTTGGTGTTATGTCCAGTGCTGCCCTGCTGTTCTGTATGCTGTGCTTTGCAGGTAACCTGGAACTGCTCCTTCCATCATCCCTTGTTTTCCTGGCACCTGTTGGCTGGCCTTCAAAAACCCCGTCAAGCTCCACTCACATTCTCTCTCTCATCCACTGCAGCTACTTTCATCAGCAGTTATCATCCAGCACTTTCTGTTTCTTTGTTAACTTTTTGTTTACTTTACTTGTAATGAACTTTGTTCTGCAAATTATGGCTCTTTGTTTGACTCTAAAGTTGCTTCCCCTGAGCCCGGGTCATGGCTCTTGGTAAGGGTAAATCATGCTCCTGGCATTGTTTTTTCCACCATGTAAATCTCTACAATAACACTGCCTACCATCTATCTAGTGGGTTTGTATTTTCTGTTGCTCTGGGACCAGAACTAGGAAGTTCAGCCTTGCTAGTTTTTATAGCTATTAGCAGCAGATAAAAACATAAATATAGTCAATATAGTAACTTTACTGAGGTTTTAAACAAAGCAATTTCAGTTTTACCATATAACGAGATTATTCTAATAGGTTATGTAAGTAGAAGCAGATCTGTTCACTAGCTGATGAAACATCCACCGCCTGTTTAGGTTCTCCTTGGCACCGCAACACAATCCAGAGTACAACCCATAGAGTCCAGTAAAAGGCTCTGCCTGTGCTAACAGAACTAGGATTACAGTATGGTAACCTTCATTTTGGTGCTAGAACTTTGCAGAATTTGGCCTCTTTCTTTCCCCTCCTTTTTGGCGAGCTTTGCACTTGACAGAAAAAAAGGTCTCAATCAAGGCTATTCTAACCCTATTGTAATATTATTACATTTACAGGACTGCAAATACTTTTACAGTGTTATATCATTGGGAGATGAAGATTGCATTGGTAGAAGTGGGATAATTATGGTGGTCCTACCTTTGCAATGGTCTCATGGAACTTGAAAAGTGGATCCAGGCTCTCTGGTGACTCAGCAGAAAATTGGGCTTCTGACAGGAAACTGGTGGTCTGAGGTGACAGAGAGAAGAAGAAGCAATTTTCACACATGACCCCACAATCATCTTTTTAATCTCCGTCTCTTGTCTTTTCAAGTCAAATCATTTTCTCATTCAGAAACATTTTTGTGGCACCACAGTGATTCCAAAGTCCAAGCAAAAATGAAACAAAAGCGTACCCTCTTTCTCCTCACATTTCTTACATGTTTTATTCTAGTTTGTTCTATTCTAAGAGTGGAGTGACCTGTCAAGCTTTTGACAGGAAACAACAGTAACTGCTCTCAAGGCCACCAAGCTGCCAGGACGTTTTGTTCTGCTGTCAAATACAGACATATATACTGTGCTTGCACACACACACACACACACACAGTCCCAGATGCTGACACAAAGTCATGTAACCATGCGTGCACACACCCCAAAACTACCTCATTGTCACCTTGGCGTACTGTGTATTGTCCCAAAACAAAGCACCTCATTGAGACTTCAAAGTCGTGCCGCTGCCTTTGTGAAGGAATTGTTTTTTTCATGGAGTCAAATTAAGTAGCAGACAGCTAAGCATCTCAAAGGTTCAAACACTCAGTTTCTACTCAATGTCACCTGGAAATCAAGAAATATCTGACAAGTCCTGTGTATCTACTAGTTTCAGACACACTACGTAGTTACATTCTCATCCTGCGTGGGTGCTTGAAGTTAAAAGTCTCCTTGATGGACCCAATAACAATGTATTTATGTATTTTTTGTACATAGGCTTATGATGTGTGTGTAAGTGCTCATTTTCTGTTTAATATATGTTCTGAAAACCCATCATGCAAGACACATTTTGTGAAGGGCAATAATGGTTTCCATTTATTAATTTGACATGTGGGCTTTGACTGGTCTGTTTTGTTACAGATGCGTGTCCAATCAGTCAGAACTGTCAACTGGACATTTACATTCTGGTAAAATCAGTCTTGACATGGATATTTGTTTAAGAAATCCAGAGGTTAAAAGTTCCTCGCTAATTAACTCAGGCTCATGACCCTAAGTTTTCAATACAGCATGATGGAATAAGTAAGTGGTGGTCCTGTTGTAAGTATGTCTGTGCAGGTTGCGTGCACCTATCATCAGACAATAATACTACAGACAATCTAATACTGGATGACTCTGCAAAACTCAAGAAGTAATTCAATGATAATGTTTTAGGGCCTTTCTACAATATCTGCAAATGAGCAACTGCTCTATGGTTAAGGATAAGGAAAGACTGTGGGTATGGCAAATATACTAGTTAAGGTATGGTAAAACATAGGCAACTAAAACACCAGGTTAGGAAAAGATAATTGTAGTGACTGCTATCAATGAAAAAGCCGCAAGTTACCTGTGAAAATGGGGGTGTTTTCAAAACACCCACGTTGTTGAAAGAAAGTTGGATTTTCCCACTCTGGCGCTCAGCGTCGCCGTGACGCAGACCTCCTGTCTCTTTCTGTAAGCTGAAACCTTTTCCCTCAGTGGAAACGAAACGAAACTAAATTGTGAAGACAGTAGAGCCTCCAATAAAATAGCATTTTAACTCGTGTGTGTGATTTATCCTGGCTTCATATGAGCAGAGGAAATCTCCGCTCGTTGCTAGGCTAATGTATACCATGTAAAATGTTAGCATGTTGCATTTGTTTGGAAAACGTGTTTAGTATAAGACATTTGTTTTGTCGGTGAACACTGTGAGTTGTTATGGAGCCAAATTATGTACCATAACCTTTGGTAGATGTTGTTGCTGTTGTCCCTGGTTGAGAAGAGGGAAAGATCGCTGGACGCTAGGCTAATTTATACAACGTAAAATGCCACAGACTTGTGCTAATAATGTTAGCATGTTGTATTGGTGGGGGAAATGTGTCCAGATAAAGACAAGTGTTTGTCTGTCAGTTCTGCAATTTATAGTGAAGCCAGTTTGCGTATTTGTGTTTGAAAGTTTTATTTGAACTAAACTTTACAGCACTTAACACAGTCCTCCACCACCGACTAGTGTTTTGGAGGTGTAACTGCAGAGTGACACAGACACACCACCGCAGAAGTAAAAATAACTGCAGATTTTTTTTTCCCCCATTACGAATCGATTAGTTGAAGATTATGTGCAAATTTAGGCAACCAAGATTTTCTTTGGTTGACTACAGCCCTACAGTTTTATTCATCAAACAAAATAAACACTTACAATCAGTGATCCGACATGACGGTCAACAGAAAAATGTCTCTGTTACCGGCAGTGATTTAAATGCCCGGGTAAATAACCTTAAACCACACCCATGTGTCAACCAAGTGACATACCTGTGCATACATACAAATGACAATAAGTTAATATTTGTTAAAGATTTGAATTCATGGCTTTCTTGAGCGTAGATGAATCAACAGATGCAGACTGGTTGGAGCACCCTGTAGAAATGTGGATATCCAGCCAGTTCTCAGCCAGGGCGTCAAATACCAATGCTCTTTCACCCCGTTGGTGTGTTATATCTACGCCAAAGGCACCCTATAGCATCTTTATGGCATGCACCAGGCTTTTGACTAACTCTAATGTAAACCCATCCATGGCAATACTTGACGCTGAGAGCAAGTGACTCGGTATGAGGAGTGAGATAGTCTGTGTAGTGTGGGAGGGAGTGAAGGTGGATGGGTCAAACAAAACCAGAGTTTGATCCAGGAGACCTCAGTTTATGTCCTTTGTGAAACCAAAAGTCAGCGTCATAATGTAACACTATGTCACTTACATACCGACATCCAAAAAGTTAATGTTGTTTTTGATGTACTGTTACAAAATCCACATACAGTTGGCGAGCACTGATGTCAGTATTTACATGTCATGTTATGTTACGTCAGAAAGTACCTATTTTAACCCAAACATGATCTTTTTTCTAAACCAACCCAAGTAGTTTTTTTACAATGTGTTTCAGTTCAGCATCACATAGAGATGCTACAGGGCGTCCTGTGAATCGCTGTTAGACACTGAGGGGCATGACAAAGTGTCTGTATTTCACAATTTAGAAATAAAACCGGGTTTTGATGACACAAAATTTCTTATCTGTGGTTTGTAATGTGGGTTTCCTACTGTGAAGAAATTAGAATTAACCCTTCTCAGAGTTGAGTTTAAATTAAGGAGAACTGTGATTAGCAGGGTGTTATATACAAGCAGCAACCTCAAGGCTAAAAAATGAAAACAATGTAGAAGCGCGACAAAGTTCTTTAAATGTCCACTTGAGGCTGGCTCCAGAAGTGACCCAATCCCTGTAGACCCTCAGGTTAAAATGTTGAACTTCACAGCAGAAATAAACACATTTACAGACTGGAAGAAAAAACGCCCTGGTCTCCATAAATAATTACTTCCATCATATAACCCACTCATTTACGTTTTATTAAGGCTTAAAGTAACGCATCATTTAGAGCGGTTCTACTTTGAGTGACAGGCAGTCTGCAGATAGTGCCCATGGCTTTTTAGTCAGCTCCATTCTCTCCTCTAAATATGGTCACTTCTGGCTTCAAAAAAACATGATGGCGACAGTCTAAACGCAGAACTTAAGGCTTCAAAATGGGAGTCCACAAACCAATGCATAACGTCACAGTACCTACATCCATTATTTTACACAGTGTATGCTTTTACAGCATGTTGCACAGAAATGGATAACCAAAACTTTTTCAGCTTACTGGAGGAAAAACACTTTGATCTGAACAAAGAGTTAAGTACCTCAGCCAGGAAAAGCAGCTAAAATGTGGGCTGCACCTAACCAACAATCTTAGCCAGGTAATATGGCAGCAGCAGTGTGGGCACATATGGGGAATAGAGGTTTAACTTAATAATTCACATATTTACGCATTTCAAGAGGGCACAAGCAGAAAGTTTTTATGAAGCCTCTTTGCGTGCTGCCTCTGAATAAATATGTGAATTACTGCTGTGGATGTCAAGCTGAATATGTGCAGCGTTCCCCAAAAAGAGCCTCACCACCTACATTCAGAAGAGAAGAATTTAAATCTCACAGTGCTGTTTGAACCCAGGAGATTTCTGCAGCTGTTGGTCTCTGTGGTCAAGCTGTGTTTCTCTGCAAGTACATGTGATGAGCGGTTTAAAATCAGGACCATGATGATGCAGATACCCATGTACACAAATGTGGTTGAAAGATGACCAAACAACCTTAACAAGCACTGTACAGCCTATTTACCTGAAATCCTGAGTGCAGAGCTGATCTTCTACGAGGTGCTGTTTTTAAATGTGTGGGCCTATCATCTATGGGAGAAATGTAAAGCTCTGGGTAGCCCTGGACTAAAATGATTAACTTTTCCATATTTGTCAGACTGAATATTTACGGAAGAAGGGAAAGATATCTGTCGGCTGTGACTGGTTTGTAAAGTGACTCCTGTCTGCTGAGCATGGCCTCTTCCTGTGTCTGTCCTTTCAAATTAAATTCCCGCATGGTCCAGTCATATAGGTTTTGATTGATTTTGACAAGGTGCAGCTCCAAGTAGAGTTTCACGTTTTTTTGGGGTTTTTTTTCCAACTAAGCCACCAATGAAATCTTGCCGACTAATGACCTTTCTTGACTTCAACTAACGTTTGGTCAGCTATTAGGGGACAGCCCTAGAAAAAAGATCTTGTTTTGGGTCTGAATAAGTACATCAGTTACGTAACAATTACGTACATGCTGTAAATACGTCATGCGAGTGGTGTCAGTGAGCAATGACCACATGTAAATTATGTAACATTACATAAAAAAAAAAAAAAAAAGATTTGTAGTTTCACACAGGATGTAGGTATGTAACTTACATAATGTTACGTTAAAACAACATTGACTCTTGGTTTTTACATGGGGCACAAACTGTGGTCTCCCAGTTTTGTTTGACCCATTCACCTTCCCTTCTTCCCATCCTACATGGACTTTCTTGCTCTTTATACTACATTAGTTGCACTAAGCATAAAGCATTGCTACAGATGGGTTACACCAGAGTTAGCTGAAAGCCCACTGCATTCAATTAAGATGCTAAAGGTTGCCTTTGGCA